ATTTTTTTCTGCTCTGCATCTGGCTCCAAGCCTGGCTGTATTGGTATGGACCTAATTACTCCGGGCACAGACAAGAAACTGAAATTTTGCCTCAGAAGCCCTTTAAGGTTGCCAAATTCATTTATGTGTTTTTACAAAAAAATAAAACTCATTTTATGGGGTTAACATTCCCTTCAGGCAATTTGTAATCCATAGATTATTGGCCAAAAATGCTGTAACTCCACTTTTGAAACCTTTGTAGTTTACACAGTGTGTATCTGCTTATTCTAAAGAAATAATTACAGTTGCCCTTAGGAGCTTTCTGACCTCCACAGAGAAGAAACTTTTTAAGTGTTGCCATATCTCCTGTTCCCAGTTCAATTTTGGAATAATAATTATGTTTTTGCAGGATACAGTGTTGCAGGATTTTTTTTTTTTACTTCAAGAGGCCCATGAAAAGTAGAAGGAGATTTTTTGTTTGTTTGTTGATTTGTTTGTTTGTTTGTTTTTTCTGGTTTTGTTGGTTAGTTTGGTTTTGGTTTTTGGTTTTTGATGCCTCTGATAGAAAAGAAGTCTGGATAGGGAAGATATATATAATGAATCTGAAACTGGAAGTTAGCTCACTCACAGCAAAGGTGGGAGAACAAGGACTCCAGTCAGAAGTAAAAGCTGAGTGGAAGGAAAAGTATCACTGAAGTCATACAAAGCAGTGTTTTGGTAACTGTTGGAAGTCAACAAATCCAGCCCATGTAGAATTAAGAATGTTATAGTCTTATGCAGTAAGTTCTTTCCCTTTTCTTAGATTTGAATCTGTAATCTTTTGTGTTGCTTTCCTTCTTCACAAACATAAAGGATTTGAATGATCATATAAGTCAAAACAGGGACTCCCTTTCTAATGATGGCAATGCTTGAATTCACAAGGATGATCATGAATTCTTCCCACAAATGTTTTTCTAGTCTTCTACTAATTCTTGTTTATTGGCTTCTTGAGCTGTGTACTGTTTCTATGCATTCAGTAATTCTTGGTTGTTTTAACTTTCATGGACTTGTTCCAGATTCATATAGATATTTAATATGCATAACTTCCTTTGACATGGATTTGCACCAGTCTATCACCCATGAACCGGTTTTTTTCCTATTTTTGAACATCTTGTGAATTTTGTTTCTTTTACAGAAGAAAGAAAGTCTTTATTATTTCTTAAATTAATATTTATTTCAATATTAATCATTGCTTCTCCAGCCCGAGGACTTGACCGGGTTGTTGTTACATGGAGCCTGTTCCACACACACCTCCCCTGCTCTTTTCTCTGCATGTCACCATCCTCCCAAATACTTTCTGAGGGAGCACAGCTAGAACTGCTTGCAATATTCTACTTGTCAGTGAATCACAGACACATGCAGTGATATAATGATGTTTTACTGTCTTTTCCTAATAATGACAAACAGGATAATTGTGTGTTTGATTTGTAATGGGTATTGATAGATACAATTATTCATGCAAGAACTTGTTTGTTCTCACTTGTTTGTTCAAGTCTAGGAAACTTCTTAAGCATAAAAAAGAAAATACTAATAGCTTAAGATTTCACTTTTTTCTTCCATTGCATCTTATCCAACCTCTGAAAACCAGTTACAGGAAAGAATTCATCTCTTGCAATAGATGTGTCTGAGACATAAAATTCACTAAGCAGCTACTTTATATAATGTAAGTAATTAATTTGGTAAAAAAGCCCTATTTCATAGCAAATGGTATATTTCTTTGCAATTAAATTTTCCTCTTTTCTTTAGGAGCACATTTTAATAATGTCCACTTACAAAATTATTAATGGGGCCTGTAAATGTAAGTAATTAAACTTAAGGCTTGCTGAATTAATCCTTAATGAGATCAATTTTTACATTTCAAAAAACTATAGAATAATTGACTAATTATTATAATGGATTTGCCATACTCATCAGTTTGAGTAATAAATGTAGGGTTACATAGCTGAGTCTAAAGACAGGTTCTATAGTCCTTTCTATCTTTTCCCATTTAACTCATTTAATTCTATTTTTTTTCTTCAAAAAAGGCTCACCTGAAAGTTCAAAAAAAAGTTGAAGTATCACCCCATTTCATAGAAAGAAGAACTGAAAATGAAAAGGTAAACTTTTGAAATCTGATGACATTTTACTTCTTGCTGCATCTATTTTCCTTTTCAGGAAAGATGGAAAAAAGTGGGTAAACAAAAGCCTAAGAGGTAACTTTAAGGAAAAGTTTTGAATTTCTTGTAGAAATTCTCACATTTTTCATCAATTTTCTTCTTTTTTTTTTGTATTCCCCAGCTTCAAGTCTCATTTTCATCTTTAAGGATTAGGCCTCATCCAAACTATCTTCTATAGATTATTAGCATCCTCTGTAGCTGCAATTCAAAGAAAGTAAAGTTATATTCAAACTGAGTTCTAAAGCCTTCAAATGCAATAATTTAGTTTTCCTTTATGTTAATGCACCTGTGACAGCCTTGTCTAGTGTGGTCTCCCAGTGATGGATTGTACATCAGGTACCAGTGACATACCTGTAATGTGTCCTAGATGATCTTTGCAAAGCTTCTGTGCTGTAAAGCATCAATGGAAATCCTCCCCTCTTTCACAATTACATTCGAGACACATCAGGTAGCACTTATTTAATCAGTATAACGGCTGTCACACTAAGCAGTGATGGTTATATATCTATTGAGCCAAAATAAAGTAAAAGGCCTTGGATAAATATGTGTCATCAGTAGTTACCTTTCCCAACTACAGATCTTGTTAGGAAATTAATTACTTTGAAATGAGCTGGTTTCCAAAAGCCCACATTGATTGGATTCATCAATGCAGTTAGTTATTATTTGAGCCCATCATTTGCTAGGATCAATCTCATGGGAACAGGCCAATAATTACTCAAGGTATCTTATTTAGCATTTTACAAGATAGCATGCTTACTTAGTTTTGATCTTCCCAAACTTTACTGTTGATTTGTTACTCAACAAAATATAAAGTTTTTAACCATTTCTTCTAAAATTTTTAGATGCAGAATTTTAAAATGGTGATTTTAGCATTTCTAATGAAATACTTCTGGTTTTTTTAAATTGATGCTTTTATTTTCACATCTGGTGGGAGCATGGCAGTAGCACTATGATTTCATCTGCTTTTAATGCACCTGGGCAGTCCTTATTTCCATCAGTCACTTCCCTATCAACCACTTAAACTTAACTTCTTTATATTTTTTGATTATCTACTTCTTATTCCCAGCTAACATTGCTTTCCATATTTGTGTTTTGTGTCCATTTATATGTGTATATACACTGGGACAGTAATGTAATATATGTGTACAATTTATGTATAATAGGTATCATAAGGTATATAATAATTTTATATAAAGAGAGAAATAAATATAGCTCAATTTTAAGTTCCTTTTTTTTTTTTTTTAATTTACAGGTGGCTTTCTTGTCTAACTGTGGTATATTAAATGGCTATTAAAGTATTATTTGGCTGTGTTCCACTACTATTCATTGTATTTTTTTCTACTTGAATTCCTTCTCTGAAATTTTTTTCTGATAATTATTTCCAGTTTTTGTACAGATGTATATATATTTGTATTTCTAACAGAAAGTAGCAAAAGTAATCAAATCACTTTTATAGTTTAAATAAACAGGCAAAACCCTAGTAAATCAGGATTTTTCTGTTCCTAAAAAGAATTTTTTGAATTACCTTCCTGAGGGTCAGAAGTTAATCTTTTATCATTGTCCCCTCTGATTTGTTATAAACAATATGAAACCATATAATCTAAATTGAGATTCTAGATGGACGTCTAAATGGACATTATAGAGATTAGCATTTTTCTAAGAGTTGATAATGAAAATTCACCTTAGTGGATGTAGCAGCATGGACTGTTACTCTAGAAGTAATAGAACATGAGGGAGACTTAACAATGGCTATGATTTGTAACCCCAAATACTGGGGTTAGATTACCCCTAATTTGCAGAATCAAATGCTACATTTTTCTTCTTCTCACTGTTCTTTACTTCTGAATTCTTTCTTGGACATACTGAGCAAAAACTTGATAAACTTCATTTTAATTTATTTTAAAATGCACCTATGTTATAACTCTTCTAAAGCATTGTAAGCCATGTGCTTAACAGTGCATCATTGTTCTGCTAATGAAATGGAATTATGTGTCTTCAACATCACAGGATTGAATATGCACCTGAGGCATAGATTTATTACCTGATAATACATATAATTTAATGTCCCATTCCTTAAACTTAACAGCCCAAGTGCTTATTGGGAAACTATCCAATAAATAAAGAAGTGACAAAAGCAGCCTTTGTTGTGGCTAGTTAAGGATGTCAAACAAAAGCAGGTGTAAATTGAAAAGTCATCTTTGAAGTTTAAAATCTATTTAAAAATCCATACTGTGCTACTTTTACCTGGTAGCCAGGGCTATGGAACAGAGGTGCCTTGGCCTGATCCTGGCATGGTGAGTACTGCACTTCAAGGGACAGTTTTGGAAATGGCCAAGATCTCCTGGAGGAGCAATGGGGCAGGGGGATGTGCCTGGAGAACAGAGCCCTGGCGCTGGACCAGCAGAGGGACTTGGCCCAGCAGGGCATTCAGCCTCCCTCCCTCCCGATGCTGCCAGGGAGCATCCCACAGCAGTTCTAGAGCTCTGGCTGCTGGAAACACACCCTCACCCCCACCAATTTAACAGGTAATATTACACATTGTTAAAGCTTTTTAATGGCTAACAGCTCAGCTAATGAGGGCTCTGCCAAGGTCTTCATAAACACCTACTTAAGGAGGAATCTAGATTATTGAGTTGTAAGATATGGAACAATATTTGTTCATTTTGTTGATTTTTCCTCAAAGGTTCCTACCCTTCTCTGCCCATTGTTGTCAGCTCTTGTTAAATGCTAGCCCTGATATTGACAGGTTGTGAGGTTTTTTTCCTTCATGTGCATCTGTTCAAATATCAAATTTAGAATCTTATAAATAGCACTAAGCTCATCCCTGTTGAAGCAAGAGGATATTTTAGGTCTTCTCCAACATGTAAATTCAACAGACTGGAGTTTTCACCAAATATCTTAAAAAGTAAGTAACCTTAACTCCAAATTCTTTTGGAAAATAAATTTATCTTTTCTGAACTCTGTTATACAGTTAACCATACCTGGTAAAGCAATTATTTCACTTTGTATAGTGACAGCAAAGGACATTAAATACTTACTAGAGTTTGACTATTGAGGTTGAGCTACTAACTAGTTTCTTAAATCATGCTCAATGTGAAATCTTTGAATGAATGCCTAAGTGGTGTGCAATTCCAAATAAAGCCACAGTAAATAGCTTGGTACAATTACTTTCTATTAATTACTATTTAAAATGTAAAAATCATTCCTCTTCTAAATTTGGAAAACCTGCACAATTGATCAGCAGTTAAGAAAATAATATAAGAGTAATTTCTACTTTGAACTCTAGGTAAAATAAGGAAATAGATCCCCAAAGATTAGTCTGATAATAGGGAAAAAAAACAGAAACTCTAATATGCAGCATTTCAAGGTCCCTGATGAAATACTAATCTTTATTACTTTTATCTTACAAAGAGATTTGCAAAGATCTTTCCCACAAGCAGAGTGTGCTTGATAAATACTGAGATAACTCTAAGAATAACTGCAAGGTCCAAAGCATATTTTGCCAATGGCTTTTGGAAAGTTGGAAATGAGGACAAAAGTGAAAAAAATGGGAAATGTTAGGAGAGATGACTATCTCACATGAAAATCTAAGTGAATTGGATATAGCTATGGTTATCAAGTCAGGTTATGTAACTTTTCTGTGGGATTTAACTACCTAAGTGCTAGCCAAGTGGTGAAACACGTGCAGTGGGAAGGAAAGATATGCTTTAACATGTTTTCTTTCACCAAAGAGTCATCCAATCATCAATCCAATTTAATCATCCGGTATACTGTCTTTTACCAGTCATATCACTAGCCAGTGAGAATGTTTCTCTGCTACCACTGATGTGCCAGCTGTGTCCTTGAAGAGAAATCACAGTTTTTTGTGGACAAATCTGTTTTTTTCTCTTGTTTTATGAGAGTCATATATATAATGCAAACTATAAACAGCTGTGAATAGTAATTGCTTTTGAAATCCAAAATACTTCTTGAAACCTTAATTTCTAAATATTGAGCTATGATCACAATTTTTTTTATTGAAAGTAGGAAAATGAACTGTTTAAAACAATAGTTTACGTTATAGATATAAATCTTTCAAAATTGCATTATTTTTGGTAACAATAACAAGAAAAGAAGTCTTGTATACCACTTTTAAATTAATATATTGTAATTTACAGTAACAGCAGATTAATTCCTCTTGTTACAGCTAAAGAAAGTGAATGGTCTTCTTTTTGTTACTTCCAAATTATCATGAGCTTCTACAGAAATATTCTCTTGAGTTTGTGACTTTACAGTTTGCTATTTTAATTTAAGTTTAGGATACTTTAAAACATAGATTTAGGCTTGTTATAAAGGCTGTTTATTGATATTTGCAATCATTTTTCCAACCAGAATGTCAAATTTTGAGCAGTTTCACTTGGACTTTTACCAGTCTAATTATACCATAGAGGACCAAGAGGAAGGTTGCAACAAAACAACTTCTAACAAAAACTTCTGTGAAAGCAGAAAGTAAGTATGGGTGTTGTTTCAGCTTCCGTCTTCAACAGATGGTGGTTCTGGGGCTGGCTTTGGGGCTTGCAGGAGGAGAAAAGATGTTCAAGATATCATCTAGACATTCAGAAAGGCAGGATGTTTATAAGTGAATTTTTCCTTATAAAGGATTTGATTTTGTGCTACTTTTATTAGTACAGGTGCTACAGGTTTTTTACCTGGCAGGAGTAAGTGAGCTTCATGTTATAAATGTGAAATTTAGGGTGCAATATTGCAGGAAATTCTTTAGGATCCTTCTTGAAATTCAATGCAAAAAAATCTAAATCTGCAGTATGGAAGTATCTGAGGAGTATCACCAGTTTGCCAGGCAAAAAATTCAGAAGTGCCTGAATCTGGAAGTGGATGTGGTGGTCTCCAGTGTTCTGGCAGGCTGGCAAGGAGCTCTGCCAGGCTGCAGAGGGTGCTGCAGGAGGGCCAAGGCAGGGCCAGCAGCTCAACACTCCTTACCCTTAGCGAGGATTGTACCCAGGAAATCTCCAGGCTCCCCAAACTGAATATAAGTGAAGTATTAGGTATTAGGTGGTTGTAGGAATCCCAGGCACAGAAAGTTCTCAAGATCTTATGAATGCAAGCTCAAACATAGAAATAAACACAGGGTTCAACCTGAGACCTTGGAAAAGGCTTCCAAATTTAAAGCCATAAGCAAGAATGAGAGTTTAAATACAAAGACATTAAGTTAGGTTGTAGGAAGTTTTAAGGTTTTAAAGTTAAGATATAGAAGTAATTAAGTAAATTAAGTAAATTAAGTAAAAAGTAATAAGAAGTTTAAGGTATAACAAGTAGTTTTGTGTGCTCCTATATGATTGGTTAAGAAAGTCTGCACTGCGGCAGAGATGCATAAAACAAAATAATTAGTTATTGGTCTGAAAATAAAAACATTCTTTTGTGGCAAAAGTTTATTGGCTAAATAACCTTTAAAAGACCCTGTAACCTGTAGTCTTGTGACCACTGACCAAGAACATCTGATAAATAAGGTGAAGATGCACTTATTCCTTCATGACACTGCAGAAGAACAATAAATCGTGTTTTAAGACATCCCCCTGTGGTCCCGTGTCTCTCACAAAATCCTGAGATGTGGTGAGTAGCTCTAGGATGTTTTTTCTTTGTAGTTATGAGTTTGGCTGTGCTTTGCTTCTTGTCCTAGGAGCCAGACAGAAAAGCAACCTGCAGGTGGGGCTTTTGTCCCATCAGACATGCTTCTGTCCCCTCAGAGCTACACGGGTCAGATTTTGCAGCCAGCGTACAGTCCCGACACTCCTCCTCAGCTCGGTTATGCTGACGGATTTGACGAGGAGCCTCCTTTGCTAGAAGGTAACACTGATCCCACGGAAGACACGCGTGACTCCTGGGGGTGCCTCTAACTTTTCCGTGCCAGCTAATGGAGCTCACTAGAGAAACTGCCACAGGGTTTCTCACCGTGGGAGCTTCAGCCAAAGCTCTTGACCCCCAAACCTCCATCTCCTCTGAATTTGCCATGGATTCATCCAGCCTTATGGCCTAGAGCAGATATACTGTACCACCGCTAGATGACAGCAGAATAATAGTTTTGCATTCACGTTTCCAAATTTGTTTCCCACATTCGTGCTTACCCTGCATGCATATTGGAAAATCTATAATTAATCAAGATGGATAATCATCTTTTTTTGCATATCTAGTAATAGATTTCGTAGTTTTCAGATGTTAAGTCGCTTGTTTCAGTGGAAAAGGAATTGAGAAAGCTTCTTTCAGTTTCTTTTAGTTGATCATTTAACTATATGAGCAATGTCATTTTTTATGATGATTGATCATTCTAATGCTAGTGGCTGATTTTGTTGCTAGCAAAAAACTTGTGCTACATTAAAAATAAAAGGAAAGAAAAAAAAAAGGGAGAATTTGTCTGTAATTATTTCAGCATAATGTAAAACAAGCATATTCAGCCTCCTAGTTTGGCATATTGGAAGGCAGGTGGAATTTTTATTACTGGGAAAGGACTACTACTGCCTTAAAGCCAGCAAGATCACTCTGATATAGATAACTTCCACATCTCTACCTCTAAGACCTCCAACCATTTAACTCCCCATGTGGTTCACCCTGGGAAAAGGATATTGTAGTACAACTGCTTGTGATCTGCAAGGCTTCAGAGATATTCCTACCTGTGTACCACAAAAATAAACATTTTAATGCAGGATATCTTTATATATCCTGCCAGTGTTTTGGCTGAGCTCAAGAAGATGGAGACTTGGCTTTCCAAACAGATCTAACACATTGTCAGTCTCAGTCACTCTGGCATCAAATCTGAACCTAACTTTGCCCTTACTGGAGAATCTCTGGGAAGATAGTTACTCGTGAGAGCTGAAGTGTTTCTCCAGAAGTTATAAGATAAAGCTTTTCCCCAGAAAAGTTAAGGGCAGGATTCCCATCACCTTTAATGGGAAAGAATCTTGTTCTGTTTCCAGGGGCCTCACTAATTATTTTTAAATGCAAACATACCCCCCCCCCAAAAAAAAAAAACAACAAACCCAAACAAACAAAAAACCAAACCAAACCAACAAAAAAACAGCCAAGCAAACAAACAAAAAAAATCCACAAGAAACAACAATAAAAAAAAAGCAAAAAAAAACCACCCCAACAACAAAATCCCAAGCTTATAAGGCACTATATAAAATAGCATGAATTTGCCTTGAAGGGACAAATGTAATTTTTGGTTTTGGTAGTTCAGGCTTAAGAGACATTCCTTGTCAGATTTTCCAGAATTAAAGCATATATCCCTGTCCTCAGCGTTGTAGAGTATCTTCAATTGCACAGCTATTGTTAATTATTGTGTTTTTCAATATCTTAGTGTGGCATTAGATATGTGTGTTTTAAGTATAGGGAAAACAAATATTAACTCAAAAACGCTGAGGACATTTTTTGTTTCATTGTCTGAAATTGGATACAATAAATTAATATTCCAATTTAGAATGAATGCTGACTCTCAAATATACTGGGTATATGCAGGGACAGTATGTTCCTACTACAGAATATGTCATCCTACAATATTATCTGAAGCATTTGTTTGCAGATTTGTGGTGTCTAACGTATTTTTGTAAAATTGTTGTTTTCTTGTGAGCAATAACAAAATCCTGTAATTTCTTGTTGCAGAACTTGGGATCAATTTTGAGCATATATGGCAAAAAACATTAACAGTTCTAAACCCAATGAAGCCTGCAGATGGCAGCATTATGAATGAGACAGACCTCACTGGACCTATGGTTTTCTGTTTGGCCCTTGGAGCAACATTGCTGATGGTAGGATGTAGCAGAAATCTTCAGGGCTTTATTTTCTAACAAGCTCATGCCTAGGTGATAATGAGTGTGAAGTTGCAGAAGATGTAGTGCTGGCATAAAAAGAGTCATTTGCTGCCAGTTGTTCTGGGATTATGTATTAAAAATTCTTCCTACTTTGAAAGCACCTGCATAAAATTTAAATGCAATGTAAAGGTGACACTGGCAAAGTGATATATTACTTCCAGTGGAAAGAAGACACTGCACCACTTTTGGGGTGGGATTTAATATGAACAAATGGACAGATCTGAGCCATATATAATCTGGAGAGGCTCTGAACAGGTTTTAAAAGAGGGAATAAAAAGGATTAGCAGACCAGTCCTGTTTTTCTAACACTCTTGCTACTTTTTTGAAATTATTGTCTTTCAATGTTATTTTAGAGAGTGCAGAGACACATAGACTAAAAAGAAATCTTTATACAACTATAATAATTGGAGAAAAAAATAAGTGGAAACAGTATTTTTTCCCCCTACACCCTTAAATCTGCAATAACTTCCTATAGATTTTGCTAGTGCTTTCTTGTTTTATATTCTTTATTCTATGTTGTCTGCTTAACAAAATATAGTAGCCTGTATTTGACCTCCTTCTTCTTTAAGAATATAGCTTTCCTAGAGGAGGAAGGGTTAACAGGGTTGTACAGAACTCCAAATTCACCTATCTATCCATCACTGGCAACAGGGGCTCTCCAGTGTTGCTGAAGTACAGCTCTGACTGCCAACAGCAATTCATCAGACAGCAATAAGGTGGGACCATTCTGGGAAGGGCTTTATTGCCCTGACACTGAGGTTGGAGAAAAGGGGCTCTAATTCTCCATTTCCTCTGTGATAAATAGTGCTGAATCAGAAGAATCTTGAAAGTTGTTACTCAGTTTGTAATGTCAGTGCAGTACCTTGAATGTGCAAACTGCAATATAAATGACAAGTAGTATTATTATTTATGTTCCTATAAGAATAAAAATCTTTTAAAAGGGTGGAAGGGGCAGGAGGAAAGGGAATAAAAGGAGAAGAAGGTGGGAAGCTAGAGAAGACAGCCTATTTTCCACCTGGAGAAATAAATGTATGAGGGTAGTAAAAGGAGAGAGTTGAATTAATTATAATCAAGAAAATGAAATAAAAGCTAAAAGAAAAGAATAGAAAAATGAATGTTTACTGTTGATTTTTCTCCCTGAATAGCCAACAGTTATAATGAATAATGAACGATTGTTATTGAAATAAATTACTTTAATATCATACTTTTTCTGGGATATTACACATTTTAGGTGTCATTAGAAGACCAAGTATTTTCAGTGCTCCAGTTTTAGGGCAGCAGAACACCTCTGACACAATCCAGTGTTTTTGTTCCATAACTTCCCAGCAGTAAGCCTATGGGTTTATCTTAGAAATTCAGGCTACCATTTTATCTCAGATGTATTTGAATCCTAACGTGCCTCTTCAGCTGTGTAAACTATGATATCCTTCTGTACTTAAATAAGTATCTTCTGATAGCACCAGGAGCATAATTTGGTTGAGAGCTTGTTTCTAAAAATAATGTATACATTTTCTTTAGTTTCAGCTTTTTAAGTATGGAGAATTATGCAAAGATATTCTTCAAAGGGTAGCAGTTCTTTCAGAGAAAAAGAGGGAAGGGCTGCTAGCCTGGCAGCAGGACTTTTCCTTCCTCATGTTAGTGTAAAACAGTGCAGCTCCATTTTAGATAGAGAAACAATGGCAGCACAAAATTTAGCAGAAGTCCAAGTCTCAGCTGCTTTGCATTTTACACAGTCATTTCTATGAAATCAGATTTCCCCATCCGCTTCAGCTAAAGGTAGTAGTACCATCCAGGCAGATGCAAACAATAACACAGTCTGACTTTCTCCTAACCTTGCTCCTCCTGCAGGACAAATTTAGCTCATTCCATTCATCAAAGCCTGTCAGACTAATCAAGCTTGATTCTGGTTCTGCTTACATCACTGTGAACTGGGAGTATTCCTGCGTGTGTGAGTCAATATATTTACATATGTTAAGTAAGACTTAAATCAGAACCAACATGTTCAGCTGACTTTTTTTTATTTTTTCTTCTCTCACATCCTTGCACTACAAATCCAACATTTCACAATAGATCTCAGCTACCTGCTGGTGCTAGTGCTCTCTTCATCTCTGGCTCAGGAATTTTTTAATCTTAAACTAAGCTAATAAACAGTGCTGTTTAGAACAGTTGCATACACTGAAACAAACAGTAAAATATGGATTGTGGATGATCCATCTGTTTTGAGATAGAACTTTACCTAGCTGGTGTATAGCAAAGGCTGCTCTAAACCATTGTGGGTGTTAAACTTACTACACATCCTTAATGACTGCAATCCTAGTTGATAATCATCTGAGCTAGTATTGCTCTCCCATGCTATCTCTAGCTATCATTAATTTTATTTCTTCAAGCAATTTTTCCTGATTATTTTATACCACTAGTATGCAAGTGCCAGCAAAAGAATCTGTACCTAATAGGAAGATTTCTTATGCTGTTATTTCAGGAACAGATCATTCTTTATGTGGGAGACAGTAATGGGGAGAAGGCCAGGATGCTGGAAGGATGTAGGCAACCTGGCTGTACCTGACTTAATCTTGAGGACTGGGACCATAGAAGATCTCAGCAGTGAGCCAGGTCAGTCTGCAGACAGGATAATGTTGCTGATAGAATGTCAGTTCTTATTAACTCAGGTTGCCTTTCACTTTCGTGCACTGCTCTCTAACAAGAGCTGGTGAGCTGCCACCAGCCTGCAATAGCAGGACTTCCAAGCTGTGTCATCACTAAGTGAGGCCTTCTCCGGTGTTGCTTTTTGTCTGTCCTGCTCAAATACCACTGGCATCCAGTGATCAATTTCCACATGCATGGATACAGGAAGAGAGGGCAGAGAAGGCTCCTCAAAGTTGATTTCCCCTAGATTTCATTAAAATGTATGAATAAGTAAAGTCAGAGGTCTTCTCAATCCTCCTTAGCCATCCTGGGAGATAAACTAGCAAGTGTCACAAAACATGATAAAAGCTTCAACAAAGTTTCTTCCAAATCCATCACAGTAGAATCCAACCATAAGCCACAGCATTATTAGGAAACTGAGACCATCTGTTGGTTTAGAGTCTTATGTGATTTATCATATGTAATATATATATATATAGATAATATATAGTGTGTGCAACATGTAAATTGGGTGTGTGTACATGTATGAACAAACACTTGTGTTTTATGTATGTACATGCACCTTATCACGTGTCAGGAAGGTGATGCATAGTGGCCCTTCATTTGACAAGTTTACTTCATGGTTCTGAGCTAATGGTTAAGCTCCAGGTATGAGCTTTCTCCTTCATAGGTGCATTCTATCATCAGGATACAAAATTCCAAGAAAAAAAAAAAAAAACAGGTTTCTGATTTATGGATGTTTTTCTGATGTACAGATGTGAAAATGACAGTATTGCATAGCCAACATTCAGTATTTAATTTTTTAGAAGGTTGGAGAGAGACAAAAACATATTTAACAGTCTTTTGTGACTGTTTATTTTGGGGAGTGAGCAATGCCCTTATGCCTGGAGGTGATCCTTCAAAATGATGGCAGAAGATGAAGGAATTGGTGGTGCTGTGGCCACAGTTGCCTGTTTTACTGGCTTTGTGTATAAATTAGAAAACATCAAGCTCCAGGCTGCCAGGCTGGTACCTTTCATAGGCAATAAATTCAAACAAAGGAATAAAACCTAGGATTTTTTTCATTCGTTAGAACAAAAAAAGAACACAAGCTGACAGTTACTACTGAGTTTTATGTTGAAATGAACATGTTCTATTGGTCTAAGTACAGAGATGTATCTTTCTCATGGTAGTCAAGGGGAAGAACAGCCATATTTGCCCTGAAAAACACCATAGCTTAGGCAAAATTTTCCTAATTTTTTGTAGACCTGTTTAAAGCTGAAGGTTTGTAATAAAATGTGAAGCATATCAGGTAACTTGAGTCATCATATTACTTAGGACACTTTTTCACTGCCCCATATACCCTTATTGAAAAGATGTTTCCTGAGCCTAAACTGATTTTTAATGATTAAAATATGCTTTCTATAATCTCTTTTTAGTTTGTTGCCAGTTAAACTTTCCCAAGTCTCCCAACCAATTTCAGTTGTGTTCAGAGCCCAGTGGCAGTAAGACTGAGAATCTTGTAACTTTAAGTTAGCAGCAAGCACATTTTGTCAGTTGTACCTTGGAAATTATTTTTATGCAAAAAATCACCCAAAAGTATCATCTGTGGTTCACAACTGAACTGATGTGGATGAAGCAGAGAGAGTGTCAACAACAAGAAGAAACAAACCTAAACCTAAATCCATCTTCTGCTAGCACTTTGTGATCGCTGCTCACTTCTGCCGCCTCAGGCTTCCTCATATTTATTCCAGGCAGGAAAAGTTCATTTTGGCTACGTGTATGGGATGAGTGCCATGGGGTGCCTTGCCATGCATGCCCTGCTGAACCTGATGAGCGACTCGGGAGTCTCGCACGGGTGCGTTGCAAGTGTCCTGGGCTACTGCCTGCTGCCCATGGTCATCCTGTCCTCCTCTGCAGTTCTCTTCTCCCTGCAGTAAGTACCACTCTGTGGCTACAGGAGTCCTATGAAGGACTTCTATAAGTGGTCATGTAGTAAATTTTGGTTTCTGAAATTGTAGCACCATTTTGTTTGTATGTATAAGTGGAAACAGCCAAAACTGGACTGTATTTGAGAGGGCTGGTATACATTCATTTTGATGCAAGTCTTTAATTCCACTGCTTTCTGCTTGGACTGAGTGCTGTTGATTTTTGTAGCAGCTTCAGCTGTGATTTTTGTTTTGCAGAGCAAACAGTGGCCAAACTCAGGTAGCATTTATAAAAGCAACTGCTGGATTTCAGGTTTATATAGCTGGTTCTTTTGTTTCTTTTTTGTTCAAAGCTCAGGCCTCCCATCTTTGTGTTTCCTTTCTTACTGAATTCTGTGTGACAGAATGAAATAGCCAAGTAACCCTTAATGATGTGGAGAATTAGGACAAGCGTTTAAGGTATAGTAGACTTGTATATTCTGAGGTATAATTGTGGTACAATTGCAAGCCTGAAAATAACTGAATACTTAGAAAAAGCAAATGTGTAGTGGTGTATGTATCTGTGCATAAGTGGGGGTTGTTCAGTCATATTCTCTGAATAGGAAATTTTTGGCAAGCCGTTCAGTAAGCCCTTTGAGACACAGCGTTTATCTCCCTGTTCACACACAGCAAAGTAAAAGCAACTTCCAAATCTTGCCTGAAGGCCTTGAGTCGTGCTTTTACCTATTGTTAACATATTATTAATGATGGTTTCCCTCCTTAGTCTTTTTTGTTCTCTCATATTTTTACCTCTCCAGTCTGTAACATATGGAACCTAGCAGATGACGAACAAGAAAATGCCCCTGTTTGTTTGCTTTGGAAAAGCATCATTCTTACATATGCATGTATATATATTGTTGTTGTTGATGTTTGTTTGTTTGTTTTTTAAAGGAAATTCTATGGTGGAATGAAGTTCTGGCAAAATTCTTGTTGCATGTTTCTGTGGAGCTATGATGGCTTAACCTGACCATATTCCATGTATTAAAGTTGTTCTGAGCTGTCCTTGATAAGATGGATGACAGTGACACTGAAAAGGCTGTTTATTCTCTGTTCTCCTACACTTCCCATATTTTCTTGATTAACCTGTTTAATAATCCAGCCTAATAAAATGTGCAGATACATAATTGTAAGACAGATGGGGTGAATTCCAAACCAGCTGTTACAACTGTGCAGGGTACTGTTTTCTGTACATGGAATCCCCAAGCACACACTACACATTTGTAAAATGCTGTGAATTTACAGAAAGCATATATTTTGAAAATCTATAAGTACTAAAATGTAATAGCCCTTACAAAATTGAACTGCTATTTCTAAAATGTATTGATAACATTAAATACCTATTGACAGGGTTCTGCAGTCCTTTCTCATTTGGTATATGAAACTGCTTGAACACAGCAAGCACCAAGGTTAATTATTGCAAACATGTTATTAAGTGGCAGCTTTTAAATCCAATGTACATTTCATTATTTTTAATTAAAAAAATATTTTAAATGGTAAAAGAAAGAGCAGTACCTTCATGATTTTTAAAAATATTTACAGAAACATTACTTCTATTTCAAAATTCAAAAAAATAATCTGATTTTTTTTCACCAATAATATACATAAGACAGTGCACTCATCTGTGGCAAAGATACATAGTAATCTAATAATTTTCAATTTTCATGATTAGCTATTTCCTTGTAACTAAATAAAGCAAAATATGGAACACTTGGGGTAGTGAATAGTACTAAGGAGAAAACCAGTACTCTTATTCAAATTTGCATGGAACTAGATTTGTTTGTGTCTATCTATGCTATTTCATGTGTGAGCCCAAGTTTATTAGGCCATCTATCTGGGAGAAACATCAATAGAGTTTTTTCCTGCAGGAAGCAGCAACAATCCTCTAATATCAAATCCCCAAACAGACTGGTAAAGCTACTTCCTTAACTAAACAATGAAGGAATGAATGTGAGCATGAAGAAAGAGGTTCTTAGACCTAAGGTGATGCAAAGGACCCGTTTGGTGACACCATCTGCAGGATGTGAGAGAAGGAGAAGTGGAAAGGATCCAGTCACATGTCCCTCCATCTCAATCTCACATCAGGACAGCCCCAGTCCTCTTGGTCACTAAAAGCATGACATGCTTTTGGCCCTTCTCCCAGGCTAGAGGATTTGACCCTCATGGACATGCCAGACACAAAGCCCTCTGCCATACCATTATTTTTAGCAGTAACACATTGTTAGAGCAAAGATATTGTAAATGCACAGCGGTACCCTTGATTCTGATATGATTTTTATGCCACCTTTCCATCCTGCTCTCTGCCAGACCTGGAACAAACCACGAGAGGCCATTGGATTTCAGTGCAAGCAGAGCAGCCACAGCTCTGAATTGTGCCATGTTGTGATAGCCTCCTAAAGAGTCATTATGTCAGCTGAAAATTGTCATTGCACAGTATGTTCCTATTGCACCCCATCTCTCTGCCAGCCTGGGTACCTGCTCAAAAAACCATTCATCCCAGCTCTGAATTTCTGGCTCACTGTTTAGGTGAGCAACTTAGCATCTCTTCTTGGAGGAGAGGCCAGGAACTTGCTTTGCAAAGCCAATGGAATTTCACTAGATGTCACTATATGGGTTTAAAAAACACTTAAACTGAGGATATTAAATCACATGGCATTTAATGTTTTATTTTTAACTTGTTGAAGTTGCAATGAGGTGCTGAGTCACCATAAAATCAATTCTTTCCTTCCTCCCTCAAAGGCCCAAGAGCTGACAACACCAAGTACCTTATTGGCCTGGTGACTCAATTGCTAAGAAATCAACTGTTTTATGTGATGTGAAGGCATTAGGTAAACTAAGTCAATTACATAAGGACAGCTTTATTCATCGTGGTTTAGTTGCAATAATTATATCAGTGGAGATAATTTCTGATAAAAGGACCTACCTGACTACGTATACACAGACTGTTTTTCCCTTCTGCTTCTGTTATGCTGATGCTTTGGAAGAGTGGGGCACCAGGAAGGCCTTTAGGAAGTGGCAGAGGTTTATTCTTTCTCAAGGTCCTTGAGACTGACACGGCAAAAGTGTGTAAAGCAGCTCTCTCATTATGTACTTCAGCAGTGTATTATGTACATGATCTCATGCATTTTACAGAAGCAGGCTGCAAATAGAGTGCAAATAAAGCATATGTTAAACATTATTTATTGGAAAGATTTTGTTCCCACAGGGCTTAATAGGGAGCCCTCTGTAATCTGGAGAAGTATTTCAGTGGGCTTTTAACTATAGTCCCGATATTATCAGCTCTCCAGGCTCCCTGCTCCTGAAAGGGGGCACGACTTCAAAAGGGCTCAGCTGTCTCCAAGAGGTAGGATGTAAAGTCATGGTCCTTTCAGTGTGTAGAAAAGGGTGCCAAGATAAGAAAAATATTTTTCCTTGGTGGTTCTTTTCCCACTCCTTACTTTGGGCCCAGTGTGCTCCCTTTTTTAAAAGGCCAGTCAAGCTTTTTCCTGGGAGACCTTTCTACCTATCCAGCTGGTGTGAGTCTTCCAGAGCCTCTCCTGAGTGTCTAAGACACACCTAAAATTTGTTCTCTGTGTTACAAAAATGCAATTCTCCAGATCATCAGGCTTCCTGATGGAAGAGTTGGTCTGTAGTGTCATTTTAGAACCTAACATCTTCTGTAAGATGATTTTGGCTGAAATAGGAACTTGGCTAAATTTAATATTAAACTTTAACAGCTGCATCTGCTGGAGGCTGAGAAGATTTATTTGTAAATGTACAGTCCTTTTAGCAGTACTTCTGATGAAAGTTTTATCCATGCTGAATGCAAAAAATTCCTTTTTTGTTTATGGTTACAATTTTAATTTGCTCTCATGCTTGGCTTTCATTATGTCAGTTAGTTCTTGGTTCTTCCATTGGGTGTTACGAATCAACAACATGCTGCTAGAAATGAACTTGAGTTTGGTAAGATGTGGTAAAATTATTGCTACATTTAATAATATGTGGACTCTGTCATGTTTCTTTTGTGTTTTTTTGTTTTCTCCTAGGGGGATCCCAGGAACTGTGTTAGCTCTGTTTGTTATTGGATGGTGCAGTTTGTCAGCCTCCAAAATTTTTACATCTGCATTGGCTATGGAAGGACAGCAGCTCCTGATTGCATACCCATGTGCTTTACTTTATGGACTTTTTGCACTTCTAACAATTTTCTGAGATGCATTTTCTGGTAGTCTTCTTACAGTCTGTTTATAGTTGTTGGAGGGGCAAGGGTTTATTTACTTATTTTCAGATTGCCTAGAGTTAAGTTCCATTAGCAAAATTAGATTCTATGACTTACTGTTTTTTTTCCAAATGGCTGATAATGAAATAAAAAAATTAAGCTAACTGGTAGATGGCCTTAAAACAAAGGTGTTTTGACAATCTCAGAGCTTAAAGAAGAGAAATTGTATTGAGAAAGTAGTAAAAGTGAAGAAAAAAAAAGAAATAAATTATAATTAAAATAAAACATTCTGTTCTGAGTATTTATGATATAATACATATGCTAGAGAGTAACTAGAATGCAATTATGTAAATATTTAATGGACATAGTAAATCAAGCAAAAATGCATATTTATTTGTTTTTAAAAAACCAACTTGCCATCTTATATAATTACTAATTAATATCCAGAATTTGTATGTTTGGGTTTGGGTAATTTTTTTCTTTTTGTGACAGAAGGCTGAGTGACCCTGTTCTGTGGCATTGAAGAACTGACCAAGAACAGGCTGATAAAACAGAGGGAACATAGGAATGTTGTCTTGGTTTTTCTTTTTTCATTTTTTTTTAAAGAGGTGCTGGTATCCAAAACACCATTGTACTGTTTTTAATATACAGTCGATTTATATTTTAAAATTTTCATTAAACCACTGCTGCTGTAACTGCAGGAAAGCACCACACAAAACAAAGGCAACCCTTAAAAATGTCTCCTGAAAGGCAGAACTGTATTTGAACAGAGAAAATGCAAATCTTCATAATTGTATCAGCCCCTCAAAAATCTATTTGCTGTTTTTAGTTTTAGGGGAACCAAACATTTATATAATGGCAATAAAGCACAGAATACAGAAGATGATATTTTAAAATATAGTATTAGAAACATTGAGCCATCAAGAGAAATTGGAGATGGGTGCAGTCACAATATGAAAAAAATCTATGTATGAAGTAGTAGAGAAAATGAAGGTAGGTGTAGAAAGAGCTAGGAAAAGTAAATAGATTAAATAAATGGAAATGTGAGGGAAATAAATGGTAGCAGATTATTTCTTCAGTGTCTTATGGTGTCTCTCTTCTTGATGCATATTCTTATGATCTTGATTATTCTCAGTTGATTGTTTTGAACACTTTGGTGATTTGTTTACAAAATATTTTCTTCCTAGACAGAGGGTGAGTGATTCTGGGACAGAGGGTCCTGATGGCTGCAAGCACTTAGGCAGAAGCTTAGTATGGCAAAGCTGCTCAAGAATACACAAAAGTAATTGTATTCCTAATCCTTTTCAGGTCAGAGGTAAATTAGACTATCAGTTTGTCCTCAAGCTAGTGACTCTCTTCCTGAATTGCAAGAGCCTTTGGTAAAAATATTTCCCATTACTATCATATTTGTTTGGGATTTTTTTAAGAACTCTTATGCAAACCATTCTGGAATTCATTTTGTTGAATTCCAGCTGAACTAGTTCAGACTAAAGGTCATGAGAAGTAAACAAAAGTAATGTATACTTAGCTAACTCCCTAAAAAAATCACAACTCATTTAGGGAAAAAATGCTGCATTTATCCATTTCTTTACTGCAAAGCTATGAAAATGGGAACAGAGAGGCCAAATTGGAGGCACAACCCTGGAGCAAATTGTGGCTATAACTAGGCAGGATCTATTTGCATGTAAGTGGGAATTGTGTGAATTTGGAAGATCAGCAATTGTAAACATGACAACTTTGGCCCTGCTGTATGAGGGAGTAAATCTATCAGGGAGTAATAAGACACAGATAAACATGTCAAGTGACTGCAGGGTATGGATATAAAAATCAGGGGCTTTGATTTACCATCCATTAATGGCATTCTCATGTCTGAATGGGGACAGATTCATATGGTTGCACCAGTTTTAGAGTTTAGAAAAGATGGTTTAGAAACATTTAGATCCATTTTTGTCCTACATTGCCTATTATCATTCATACTGTCTAAAACAAGTATAAAATGGCTCTATTCTGCAGCACTTTATGTTCATTCTCATACTGATCTGCATGATATGAATCACAGGTTAAGCAGTGAATCGAGCCATCAATTTGTCTTTTGATGTCATAGACAAGTCAAATTACTTGTGGGGAAGATAAACACCTTGAAATTTTGCCACAACGTTTACAAAAGCAAATGGTAATCTAATTATTGTTTTATATTTATTTTCTTAGAATTTGTAACTTCTTTTTCTTCACTGAGACACATCTTCATAATTTTGAATGCTAAAAACTTAATTCCAGTAATTTCCCTTGCTTTACTGTTTTTCTGTGCCAATTTCCTTTTTCCTGTTCCCAAGGGATTTCCAGTAAGTGGTACCTGCTGGTGCTGTGCTCCCAGCGTGGTGTCCCTCAGGAGTCTGTGCTGACTGAGAGGGTTAAACTGTCTTAGATGTCCTTCTACTTCTTTGAAACAAGATTCCTCATTATTACCCAGCTCTCCTTTCTGAAGGTCAGAATAGCCATGGTGATGTTTCAGACCAGGTTTTCTTGTGTTTTCTTCCTAAATCTAAAAATATTATGGTTACTATCACAAACTGTTAGTTCATGAAAAAATAAATGTTATTATATTAACTAAGATCAGTTTAATCCATGTATATTTGGTAATAAGCTCTTGTTCTGACTCTCTGGACAGGCTTTCCCAGCACCATCTTGCTTTCTTGTATTTTCTCTTGCTTGGGCCCTCTTATTTAACCCCCTCATATTTTTCCATGAAAGTTTAAATACAAGGTTGGCAAACTGTTGCTTTCAGCTTGCAAAAGAAAGGATTATAAAATAGTAATGGATCACATACTGATTTTAATTCAGGCTTCCCACCCCAAAGAGTTAAAAAAAATCATGAGACTTACCAATAATCTTCAGAACATAAAGGGAAAAATAATTATGGTTTTGGAGAGTGACATTTTCTAATCTGTCTTTGGATACTTGTTCTTCATAGCATGCACATGAAATGTTCTGAATGTGCACTCACACACAAAAATGGGAATTTACATAGGTCCTTTCTTTTAATTCAAAGTGTGATATAAGTGTTGGACACAGGCAGCACGACAGAGGTGTAGGAGACAAAGTGTTCCCCTGCCTTCCACTGCACTTCTTGTGTGCCAGGCATATTCAAGGTCACCCTCAGAAAAAAGCATGCAGCACTCAGCTGTAATAGAAACATTTTGCTGTTCTATTGCAACTAAATGCAGGGGGGTATGAAAGTGAACATATTCTGAGTGAGAGGAAACTGTAGCATGTGGCTGATTGTGCAAGGGCAATAAAATGGTTTTATAACTGGCTAGAAGCTGCTGGCAAAATGTCAGGCTGCATCCGGAGACCTCCTCTCCCTGGCCACTTCTGTAGTACCAAAGTTCCCATCTTTATCAAAAATCATCTTGTCACATGTCATCTCTAATAGGTTCTAATATGGCCTAGAATGGTTTAACTGTTGGTAAGCTGAATTGAGCACAGAAAGCTGCTGAAACATTGAATTGGGCACATGCTGTGCTTCTTAGTGAAAAAGCTCCATGAGAAAAGGGTAATATTTTCCTAGTTTTTGTAGCTTAGAAGCCACAGAGGGCTTACATACAAAACAGTGACCTCACTTCATGACTGTGTTGTTTATGTCATTTGAGAATGAGAAAAGACAGCTCTGTGTCTTGACTTAGACCTCTCCTGCCACCACTTTATTTCAGTGCCTTGCTAAACAACCATCTTCACATATTGGCGTTTTCTGTTCACTGAAGGATCTTAAGTAAATTTTACAGTAAGGCTGAATTACTCATCTTTATTCCTATCAATAATCAGTATAAATGAAGAAAGTATTTAAGAAATTATGCCTGTTTTAAATTTCCTTTTTTTTCCTTATTGTCAAGAGCATATTTAGTGGTCAGGCCATTTTGGCTTCTTCATGCCTGGCAGATAAGAATACATGATGTACATAAAATATATGATATCCATACACATATGTAAAAATAGAGATGTGCATATATATGATAGGGTGAAAGACACTGGAGCTACATCCAGTTCTGAACAGTAGATTGCCACTTTTCAGGGCATAATATCAACCATCTGTTGAACCCAGCCTGGGAGACATTGTATATCATTCCAAAGAAACAGAAATTGCAGCATTTGAGAAGCCCTGTGGGGAATTGCTGCACATAATGACTAAGCTCATGATGACACAATGCATTTACTGGTTAATGTATTTCCTAAAAGATAAGAAAAGGCTACTGGATCAGCAAATAATGGGTTACTGCAGCACGATGGCTACAAAAATCAACTGCATAATTAATGTCATCCTGCCCAGGTCATTGTAATAAGAAATCAATCTCTACCTGTGTTGGTATCAGTCATGGATATGTTCCTTTCCAAGATCTACTCTCTCTCAAAATTTCACTGATTCATGTTCAGTTAGCCTTTTGTCTACTTATTCTAAGCAAACTGCAAGAATGCCATGAGCAGTACCAATTCTGTAGCTGTAGGCCATGACTTGTCTTCTTAAACAATCTCGTCTCCTCAATGTTCCTGGTGGTGAATGCTTAGGAGAGGTCAAAGCAAACACAAGGGCTGTGTTTTAGTTGTTTGCCGAGTGCTTTTGAAAGAATAACATCTGCAACAATGACAATACATTTGCTGTGATTACCAAGCACATTTATTAGACTTATGGTCACATCATTAGCTTAAAACTGCCCAGTGACCTTGGTGCTGCATCACTGAACTAGATGGACGATGCAATTCACAGTGATCTGCATACAGTTGCATAATAAAGACCTTGGCCAACACATACCCTCTACTCTAGCAGCATTTTAGCTACAACTGCAAAAAAAAAAAGAATCATTACCCTTCTTTTGCCATGACATTAAGTGACGTGATAATGAGTGAGAAGAGGTCAAGAAAACATTCATAGCTGTAAGCTTAACAGACTACATGGGAAGCCACCACTTTGCAGAGAACAAGGGGTGGATTTTTAAAAGCACAAAGTTCAGTCAGTCCCATCAAAAGTCACTGAGATCTGAGCTCAAGTGTCTACTTTGGTGGTTTTCCTGATAGCCTATTGACAAGCACTCCTGAGCAAAGTGCAAAAGGCCACCAGGCTACCACAGGAAGTGTCCCAGAAGGCTGGTGACCCACATAAAATTTTGGGTAGACACAGCTGTAGCAATTAAGCATAAGAAGCTCTCTCAATGTGTGGTTGCATAATGTAATCCCTGGCTACAACTTTATCCATTTGGTTATTTTCTGGTTTATTTAACTCTCATCTCTGGACATTGAGTGGCCATAGTTTGTCCTTAGCTCAAGCACTGGCAGCTTATCTCAGCTCTAAATGTATAATATGGAGCTTTACTGGGCTCTGGCTTTGCTCTTCAGCTTAGTAAATTGCTGGTTGTTCTCAATTTTGACCCTTAGCATCTCTTCTCACTCTGTTTCTTAGCCAAAGTTCCTCTTTCTGATATTTTATTTCCTGGTTTCTGGTTTGAAGTTCATGGTTTTAGTCATAATCTTAACATTTAACAGTCTGCACCCTTGTATTTCTTTGATACTCCATCTGCCTTCTAGAAAGACCACACACAGAGGAAGAAAGAGTGCTAGTGAATAATGCAAAAATCTTTTAGAGGCAAAAACCTGTCTGCACTTGGCCATCATTAGTCCTTTCTGTCTATACCGGACTGTGGAATCAACTGTGCAGTTGGGATATATCATCTATCAGTAGTGCTGAGAGAGAAACCTCTAATATGCTTTTTGAGTAAACACAGTGATTTTAATACAAATGCCTTGTTGGCACCTGAAATATGATCAGGGCCTTAGAGATGAGATACAACTGCACATCTTGATGAAGAGACTCCAGAAACAAATACCCTAACTTTTAAAGAGGCATAAAGTGAGCACTAGATTTTATCTCTCCATGTAGAACAATGAGATAGACATGCATTACTGTTCCATCACTCTTCTGAACTGCAAACTGAGTGGAGGAAGAGCACTGTTGATGCACAGCAGAATGTGAAACAGTTTAGGCAGTTATTCCTTGTGAAAAGTAGTAATGACACTTGGCTCTTCAGAAGAAGTAGGCGTGATAATGTGATCCGCTTTAAAGTGCACTTGTGCATTTTGCTTGGTGAGTCAATTTGCTGGAGGAAGATGATACTAAGTGACACTAATAACCACAAAAAGGATGAGTGCAGCATAAATTTGCTTATATTTCAGACATTGTGCACATGGTGCATAGAGATCTGCAGAGTGTTGCAGAGTAGCAGCACTGTGATGTAGCTCACCTGCATAATGAGTACTGCTGAATAACTGTTGGCACTGCGTAGGAAACTCTTTGACTGAGATAAGAGCATACCTAATGCTTCCTGCCTTATAAAAAGGACCACTTCTCAAAAGAGAAGATCACCCTGGAGACGTGAATT